ATTGGCCAGCAATGCCATAGCTAAATAGCTCAATCCCTGTTTTTAAAACGTTCAAACTCTTTTTGGGAAAGCCTGTGTGATTCAAGGATACATCAGCCATTTGACTGGAAGTCCTTTTTAAAAGATTCACATGCTCGCTATAGGTGGGATTCAAAGATATAATCTTCATCTGCAAACCAGAGTGCAGATGCAACCGATATTTCCCTATATGCAAACACTGGAGGTCTTTGTTCTGAAGAAGATCACAGCATTGCCATGTGAAAAAGAAAGTCTAGCTAAACCACAGCTACACACACACACACACGCACACGCATGCAGAGGTAACTTTTATAAATTAATTAAACTCAAAATGAGATGCAATGTACACCTCAATTCACAAATGACACTCATAATGAAAAGAAAAACAGAACGCTGCAAGAGATCTGACAACACCATGTTAGAAAGTGAATGATTTTTTTTTACACTTGACAAAAAACATACAACGGAAATATTTTCTAAACAAAATCCTCTAGATTTGGACATGTAATATAGATGTTTTTTTTTGGTAAAATAGCTATTCGTTAATATTTTATTGATGTAATAATGGCTTTTTTTGAGGTGCTACTTGACCATTTGCTCTTTTGACTAATCGCATTAAAGCAAGACAAATTACCTTGAACATTAAAAATAAAGCAATAAAATGAAACTAGGCATGGGATGATAACTGGTTTCAAGGTTTACCACAGTTTAGAAAAGTCACAATTTTTAAAATAGCTAAAATTGTCTAATACAGTGGTTCTCAAACTGTGGTACGTGTACCACTAGTGGTACGCAGGCTTCCTTCTAGTGGTACGCGGGGGAATTAAATATGTCATGTACATGCTATACACATTTCAAAATGTATCAAAAATGATGTATATAATATGCCATATATGACATACAGCCTATATTTCTGAGGTAATCTGCCACAATTTTTTTTACCTTGCAGAGTTGTAGCTGCTTTACTGGGCCTACTTTGCTACTGTATTTCAATACTGCTCATTTTGGTGGTACTTGGAGAGACAATTTTTTTCTGAGGTGGTACTTGATGAAAAAAGTTTAAGAACCACTGGTCTAATATACCGTTCTTAAGGTATTTGTAAGGTTTTTAATGTGTTTTTTATGAAGCCTGACATGGGGCAGCACGGTGGTGCAGTGGGTGGCACAATCGCCTCACAGAAAGAAGGTCGCTGGTTCGAGCCCCTGATGGTCAGTTGGCATTTTTGTGTGGAGTTTGCATGTTCTCCCCGTGTTCGTGTGGGTTTCCTATGGGTGCTCCGGTGTTCCCCACAAGTCTAAAAACATGTGGTATGGGTAAATTGGGTAGGCTAAATTGTATGTGTGTGAATGAGTGTGTATGGAAATTTCCCAGTGATGGTTGCAGCTGGGATGGTGGCATCCACCGCATAAAACATATGCTGGATGAGTTGGCGGATCATTCCTCTGTGGCGACCCTAGATTAATAAAGGGACTAAGCCGAAAAGAAAATGAATGAATTAAGCCTGACATGTTTACCGTTTCAAAATATCATAAATGTTTCCTAAAATAAAACGTCTTTTGTTCAATTTCATCAAAAGCTGTTTTTTTTTTAACCCAGTCATTTAAGAAGAACTTATTTTAGAGGCAGTAATCACAACACTGTGATACCATGATATTTTTATCCAAGGATATCACACTGTCAGAAACGCCAGATACCAGCCCATGCCTAAATGAAACTACGTTTAACTTTAAAGAAAGAATGCATAAGCTGAAAATATTATTGAATAATACAATTTTAAAGTATTTAACAATTTTAGAGCATTTTTATTTACAACTTTAGAGTAAATCTGAAATATCTGAAATGTCATTTAAATAATCATATACTGCACCCTTATTATTATATATATATTTTTTATTTTGTGTAAAAAAATTATTTAAATATCAAATAAAATATATTCAAAAATCCAAGTAAATAATATAGTGTAGAAATAATATATACAGGGGATTTGGTAACTATAACCACATCAAAAAGTAATAGCTCACTTATCTTCAATTTTTTTTTCTTAAAGTATGCACTAAACAAGACAAGGACAAGGTCTACAGACAATTCTCTTGTCTTCATGCTTTGTTTGTGCTTTGTCATGCACTGTCAACCCTGGGACCTTATATAGACAGGTGTATGCCCTTTCAAATCATGTCCAATCAACTGAATTTACCACAGGTGAACTCCATTTAAGTTGCTGAAACATCTCAAGAACGATCAGTGGAAAATTATATGTACATACTTATACTTATGTACATGTGGTTTGTCAGGTTTTTTATTTTTAATAAATATTCAACAATTTAAAAAAATATTTTTTCACATTGTCATTTTGGAGGATTGTTTGTAGAACTTTAAAAAAATAAATTAATTTAATCCATTTTTAAAAAAAGGCAAAAATGCGATGATTTGTAATGGCAAGACAGTTCACCAGAAGCATTTGGGCTGACTATAAAAACTTTTGGGCTGAAAATGAAGTCTTTGTGCATTGTGTTGTTTCAGCCTATTTTAGGTGAGTAGTTCAAACAAACAGTAAACTTAATCTTTTGAGTGTACCTCAGCCAGCAGGGTGGAGATGATGTGCAGCGGGGCCTGATGGATGGACTCGTCCTGGAGGGGCGAAGTGAGGGCCATGTCCACCAGAGAGCGAATCTCCTTCAGAACAACATCCCAGCGGCTCGGGTTATTCAGAACCTTGCGGTACTTGTAGATCTTTTTCTGCAAATGAGTCACACACACACACCTGCCTTTTACCGATGTAACCAACAGTTATGAAACTGACACACATTTGATCAGCAGAATGCAGCAGTAGTCACATTCTGATTACATTACTGCGTGAAGTATCACAGCAATTTTTATCCAGAAATGATGGGTTTATGGGGTTTGAATGTGAATTAATTGATTTTAGTTTGTTTACAACCACATAGACTTCATTTGGCAACATTTTTAGATATTTAGATCATGATACTAAACCATAACAAACCATTAATTAGCACTAATAGCTTAATAAACTACTAATTAGCTGTTTATTAATAGTTAATAAGGTAATAAGTTGGGTTTAGGTTTTGGGTAGGATTAGACTATATTTTAGATCAGTGTTTCTCAACCACGTTCCTGGAGGACCAACAACATTGCATGTTTTGGATGTCTCCTTTGTCACACCCATCACAGGTCGATCAGTCTCTATATCTAATGAGCTGGTGATCTAAATTAGGTGAGAAAACATGGAAAATGTGCAGAGCTAGTGGTCCTCCTGGAACGTGGTTAACATTGCTTTAGAACTACTAATAAACAATCCTAGTAATGGGCAGGTGATAAGTGAGTACAGCATGAATTGTGAACTAAACAAAAGTGTTTTCCTTATTTTTTATTATTTCTTTAAAATCACACTTTACTTTCTCACTAGTTATTTATTTTTTTGGTGTTTTTTTTACATCATTTAAACCTTTCCCATCGCTCTCAAAATATGACTAGAAACTACTTGACGCATACAAATTTCTGGTTACAAGTGAGGTTTTATTGTTTCCGCTACATACATCATCATGTCTCAAATTTCAAATCAAGGATGAGCCGCACTGAGATGTTTGTTCCCTTGATAACCATTACCAATATATAATGGGGACAACGTTTTTTTTGATGGAAAAGAAGTCACAACTGAGGTCACAGTTTAATATACAGATTTTTTTTTTACTTTCTAACATACTTAAATGGTGAAATGACAGTGCTGACTTCTGTGAAAAATCTTTCACATAATGTGACTTGATTGAACATGATGTACAATAAGAACGGCTGCCTGCATGTTTATTGTTTCCTTCAAACATCATCTCTTGATTCGACTTGGCGGTCTCCTTGGTAACTTAAGATATACTTTTATAAATCTTTAATGGGGAAAACTGTTTTTGATGAAAATGACGCCACAACTAAGGTCATAAACTGTAGAAAAAACATAAGATTATCGTAAATGTCTTTGAAAAACATTTAAATGTGAAAATGTTGCTGGTAATGTCTCAGCCTGGCTGAGGGCAATATCATAGCTGGCTAATTTTATGTCAAATGAACATAATTGTGCACAATAAAACTAAATTACAGCTTAACTGGTTATGATGCACAATAACAAAATCGTAAAAGATATTTATACTTCAAGTTACACAAGTCAGTGACTTCTTTGTCTTGGTAAGGTGCTAATTTCACAGATAACTATTTTTATAAGATTAAAAAAAAATACAATCTGACAAAGTTGATCTGGGCAGTGCACAGAATAAAAACTACTGCTCACAAGTTATGTTTATTATTTCATAAATCTCCTATAACTTATCTTAAATGACTTAACTGCTTGAAAGCAAAGTATTTATTCTTTAATTTTTTTTTTCTGCTTAGTCCCTTTGTTAATCTGGGGTTGCCACAGCGGAATGAACCGCCAACTTATCCAGCATATGTTTATGCAGTGAATGCCCTTCCAGCTGCAATCTATCACTGGGAAACACCCATACACTCCCATTCACACATATACACTACGGACAATTTTAGCTTACCCAATTCACCTGTACCACATGTATTTGGACTGTGGGAGAAACTGGAACACCTGGAGGAAACCCACGCGAACACGGGGAGAACATGCAAACTCCAGACAGAGATGCCAACTGAACCACCCGAAGCTCGAATCAGCGACCTTCTTTCTTGGAGGCGACAGCGCTATCCACTGCGCCACCGCGTCGCCGGAAACAAAGTATATACTTTGTAAAATCATTATATTAAAAAAAAATTAAGTTTTTGGTGGAAATGCCACCACAACTGAAGCAAAATAAATTGACGCAAATAAATTGGTAGCCAATAAACTAATATTAAAGGGGGCATGTTGTCTCTGGTATCCCAAGAAACCCAAAATACAGCATATATTATATAATACAGCAAAATACAGATTATATATAGCAGGAAAAATAAGTATTGAACACGTCATGTTATTTCCTGTGAATAATATTTCTAAAGGAGCTGTTGACATGGAATTGAACCAGATTTTGGTAAAAACTCCAACAATACAAACACAAAAATTAAACAAACAAAAAAAAAACTGAAAGCTGAGTTATGTGTAATAACAATGAAACGCCATAATGCATTGCTCAGGTGTGAGTTTTTCCAAAGACTTCAACAAAGAGTGTAAAAATCTTGATGGTTCTGTGGTTCTCATCTAGCAAATCTGATATTTGCTTTTTATTTTCTATTGGATTCGAGTCAGGTGATTGGCTAGGCCATTCTACAGCTTGATTTTCTTTCGCTGAAAACATTTGAGAGTTTCCTTGGTTGTGTTTTGGCTCAGTGTTTTGCTAAAATGTCCAGCCTGGTTTCATCTTCATCATCCTGCTTATGTAGATGTTGAACTGAAGCAGCGAATATTAATTTACACTGACGAAGGGCAGAGGGTTGCTGAATAACTACTGAGAGATTTCAGATGCTGTCTGGGCTTTCACTGCACTTCAATGCCTTTGTTTCTTCGTGTGCTCAATACTTTTCTTTCATTGTTTATTTTGCATAACTTAAATGGTAAACTAATCAGATTTGTTTACATAGCATATATGGATTTTTTTGGTTGTTATCAACATCCGGGGAAATTTCAAGTCAACAGAACTTTTAGAAATAAGTTTTCCGAGAAACGTTGACAGTTTCAATTCTTATTTTCCCTGCTGTACTATACTATGCTATAAATGGCCCTTTTTGGATAGAAACAAAATCAGTTTTTCTGTGTCTCTTTAAATGCAAATAACGTTTACACTTGAAAGTTACACACGATACACACGTTATGTGTTAAGCATAAATACTATGCATATGCACAATATGACCTTTAAATCTATTCACACTATAAAAGTTTCATTCTTCCTTTACAGAAAGAAAAATTCACACCGCAAAGCTAAAACTCTGAAATCATCTTGTCGATCATCAAAGCGGGAGCATCTTAAGAACACCCACATACTTATAAAATAATACTCTCACTTTAAACCATGCAGAATGTCATTACGCCAATGCTTTTTGCAAATCGAGCCTTCCTAGACATATGACCTTACCTTCCACTGTATAGAGTGAAACCACTGGTCCCGCAGATAGCTGTTAGCAGCCTGTGAGCGCACACAAACATTCACAAAATGAGTCAGAGTGTCATCGCAACATAGGTGTCATGAAACATGAGGGGGCTGGATGTACCTGCAGCAGAACCGTTCCTCCAGGGAAGCTGAGCTGGACACAGTATTTGGGAGCATTGTCCCAGGACAGCAGCTGCAGGTCTTCTATGGTGCTGTAGGACAGAGGGGCCTCCATGTATCCTGTGGGCTGCAGAAACAGGAAGAGACACGTTTAAGTTTGCAGAAAATGACTCATGGCTTTAACACCTCTTAAAATGAGCTTTGTATACCGCATTTATAAAAGCTCGGTTGGTTTCGTCATTATAAGGGAAGGAGAAAAAGGTTTTGTTTGTCTTCTAGAGAAAGTCTTATTTGTTTTATTTTGGCTAGAATAAAAGCAAAAAGCATTTTAAGGTCAATATTATTAGCCCCCTATTTTTCAATTGGCTATAAAACAAACCAGTGTTATAAAATGACTTGCCAAAATTACCAAAATTAACCCATTTATGCCAATAAGTTGCACTTTAAGCTGAATACTAGTATCTTGCAAAATGTGCCGTTTAATCATTTGCATAGAATATCATATGGAAATAATATGATGGCTGATCTCTGGATGTCAACATGCTTTCAAAGATGCATCGTCCAGCTCTTAATGTACTTTCTCTGTGCAAGCATCACCCATGATGATACTTCAGGTATACTTCAGTTTAATTTTGAAATTAAACTGAGTTCAGCACGGGAGAAGTATCAGTTTTATAGTATTTCTATAAAAATAATTACATTATTTTAATCATGACAGATGGAAAAACACAAAACTAAAGGCCTGTTGTAGTTGTACTTTATTCCTGCTGTGAATGTACAGAAATATTAGAATAACCTTCTTTTTTTAAACATTTATGTTTAACAAATAACTATAATAAATTTACCTATAACATATTTTCTTCTAGAGAAATTATTATTTGTTTTATTCTGGCAAGAACAAAAGCTCTTAATAATAATAATAAAACAAATATTTTAAGGTCAATGCTATTAGTCCCAATGACTTGCCTAATTACCCTAAAGCAGAAGTGTCCAAACTTTCCTTATAAAAGGGCCAAAAACCAAACTTGATTGAGGGTGGTGGGCTAAAACTTTTACATTAAAATTGCCATGGTGATGTCTTAATTTATTTAGATTTTAAAATAAATAGAAAAAATACTTTAATCATATTAATAATTAAATATATATATTTTAACATCCTAATGTAAATGTTTTTTATTGATTTGCTTATTGCTGTCTTGCTTCTATCTTCGAGTGACAGAATTTACACACAAAATAAATCTGATTTATGCACATTTAACTTAAACATTTAATTTCAGTTTGCTTTTTGCTACTCAACAATAAAACAAACTAACAAACATGAATCTTGTTTCGGGCGGCCGCTGCTATCACATTCTATATCAAAGTGGGCGAAAAAACGAAGTTAGTTGAAATTATGGGAGTTTGCCAGGAAAAATAACAAAACAGGAGGGTGTCGGGAGATGGGTGTGAAATACGGGAGACTCCCAGGATAAAGGGAGTGTTTGGCAGGTATGCTCACACATACACTCTGCACTCTGACTACTTCGAAACTGTTGATAAGCCGTGGTGGGCATTTGTCTCTGTCTCGTGCTTAACGCAGTCGACAAATCACAACAGACTGGGTCATCGGAAGAATCAGCGCAGATTAGCATCGTGCTAAGGAGATATTTGGAAACAAATAAATTGCTAAACGAATCATAAGGGTGTCGTTGAAATAATTAGGTAAAAATAAATGCATATTTTAAGACAATGAAAGTGTTTTTTGACCTTGCATCCAAATCAGCCTGTTGTTGGAGACCTCCAAAACCAAAATATGACCTTTTTAATGCATAATTAGGAAAATCATTGTATAATGATGGTTTGTTCTTTAGAAGGGGGCTAATAATATTTACCTTAAAATGGATTCAAAAACTTAAAAAATTGCAGTTATTCTAGCCGAAATAAAACAAATAAGACTTTCTCCAGAAAAAAAATATTATAGGAAAAACTAAAAAAACTCACAAATTTACAACTGTATATATATATATATATGTATGTATATATATATATATATATATATATATATATATATATATATGAATTTTTTGAAGATTAACAGAATAGTAAAACTAATAGTAACTATAAATACTGACATGCATGACATTTTAACAAAATGGAAACGCTATTTGTTGAAAAGGAAAGGAAACTGCTAGGCTTTAGTTCTAATTTGGTTCAGTAAGCAATTCTAGGCATCGGTCAAGCAGCAATTGAGAAGACTTGAGCATCTTTCTAACATATTAGCCTAGAAATAACATAACATAAAAAACATTAGGATATTTAGTACATTTGATTAGGTACATGTACACAAAATAATTGTTTGTTAAGTGGTAAAAATAGACAAAGCTCTATTAAATAAAAAATAAAGCTCTAAATAATTGAAAGTCTGGCTTTACTTAGAGCGTTTTCTACATTATTCAAGTATCCATAAGTTGAATTGTTAACTGAAACAGTTCAATAGTGTGTTATTCATTCATTTATTAGCTAATTTATTCATTTATTCATTAAATTTGTTTCTCAGGTGATTAAGTCCTTCACATCTTTTCAGTGAATCAATAATAGACAGCATGACCAGTGCAGTCTGATTCTTGAATGAGTGAATAAATAATTAAATGTTATTTTTGGTTAATTAAATATATACAGTGTCACCAAGAACGCAGTGGTGCCGTAGGTAGTGCTGTCGCCTCACAGCAAGAAGGTCGCTGGTTCAAGCCTCGGCTGGGTCAGTTGGCGTTTCTGAGTGGAGTTTGCATGTTCTCCCTGCGTTCGTGTGGGTTTCCTCCGGGTGCTCCGGTTTTTCCTCCACAGTCCAAAGACATGTAGTACAGGTGAATTGGTTAGGCTAAATTGTCCGTTGTAAGTGAGTGTGTATGGATGTTTCCCACAGATGGTTTGCAGCTGGAAAGGCATGCACTGCATAAAAACATGCTGGATGAGTTGGCGGTTCATTCCGTTGTGGCGACCCTGGATTAATAAAGCGACTAAGCCTAAAAGACAATGAATGAATGAATGAATGTGTCACCAAGAAGGTCCAATTCTCAAGCAACTTGACTTTTTTTTTATAGCGCTTTTACAATGTAGATTGTTTCAGAGCAACTTAAAATAAAAGTTCTAGTAAATTGAAACTGTGTCAGTCCAGTTTTCAGAGTTGAACTGGTGAAAGTCCAAAAGCTGAAGAGCAAATCCATCAATGCACAGCTCCCCAAGTCCCAAACCAAGCAAGCCAGTGGCAACAGTGGCGAGGAACAAACTTCACCAATTGACGAAAGTGAATGAATAAAAAAAACTTGAAAGAAACCAGGCTCAGTTGAGCACAACCATTTCTCCTCTGGCCAAACTTTTTGTGCAGAGCTGCAGTCTAGACTTTAATGAACCTGTTCTTTTGAGTAAATCAAAAATATACATAGCAGTTACATTTGGTTAATAGTAATAGATTCTTTATGATTTCATTTAAATGCATATGTAGAAATTCAATTAAACATTTCTGATTGTTGATCACTGTTTACCTCTATATTTCAGATCCTCCACAGTCAGAGCTGATCATGACCTACAGAGGGCAGCAACGCTCCACATTCCGAGACATCTGCCATCTGCATCCGAAGACTTTCAAAGGCATATTGTAGTAGGACTGGGTTCATCCTTTCTTCTCTTTTCGACTCTCAGCGGTATTCTTGTGGGCAGATTTAATTAATGAATCACTATTTACATCCCGTCTTTTTTGCCCCCGTCTCCACCTGACAGAGGCAAGTGTGCAGATTGACAGATTGCCTATTTCTGGATATCAGCTGTAATTAAAGCTCATTTAGGCTGCTGATGGCATTTTCCGCCCCCTCCATCCACTCCAATTAGAGACAGTATTAGGTTCCAAGGCTCATGGATCAGATAGGCTTATTAAAAGGGGAATGCAAAAGGTCCAGGGCAACAATGTGCCCTGGTGTCCCGGTAAGCTTCTGGGCGCAGCTCGGGAGTTATGGATGTTCTATAATGCATGATGGGCAAGCGCTTGGTATTGATCAGATAAACACTCAGAGCTCAGGATGCTATAGATCACACAGAAGATAAATCTTCTCTCTGCTTGGGCCTCCTCTGTTCTTTCTTGCTGTCAGACTTTCCGCGAACATGCTCAGTTCAAGAAAGATAAAGTGAGCATTACTCTCAACCAGATGTGTATAGTCTCGGCATGAGTAATTATATTATTTATGAATTGTTGATGCACACCAAACACAAAACTAAAAAACTGAAAGATTCTCAATGGAGTGGCTTTTGATAAATAATCTCAGTGTGAATGAAACAAGAGGTTGACTCTTATGAGCTGGTTATTTTCAGTAAATGACTCATGATATGTGGATCTTTTTTCTGTGATTTAAAACTATAGAGCATAAAGTGAAGTCTGATTCTCAAGCAGCTGACACTTATCAGGCAGTTCTTCTAACAACATGATTTTCATAAGCCAGTTCTTATCAGTGAATCCAAAATATGCAGAGTGACGTCTGATTCTGAAGTTGATGAGTCTAATGAACAAGTTCTTCTCACTAATCGATTCTATTAAGCCAGTTCTTTTCAGTTATTATCTGCTTGTTCATTGAAGCTGCAGGTAAACTTTTATAAATTGATTGACTGATTTACAAATATAAAGTAAAAAAAACAAACATTTTATGTAATTAATATACACAGTTGACTTCAAAATGAATAACTCCTCATCTAAAATTTTAATTCTTTTAAAAATATTTCTCAAATCATTTTTAACAGAACGTGAACATTTTCACAAAATTTCCTATAATATTTTTCCTTCTAGAGGAAAGTCAGATTTTTAAAAATTTGGCTGGAGTAAAAAGCACTTTTTAATTTTTTTAAAAGCAATTTTAAGATCAATATTCGGCTGCATATCCATGATGCGAAACTTCCGTTTCATCACATCCCAAAGGTGCTCTATTGAATTGAGATCTGGTGACTGTGGAGGCCATTTGAGTACAGGGAACTCATTGTCTTGTTCAAGAAACCAGTCTGAGATGATTTAGGCTTTATGACATCCTTCTGGAAATAGCTATCAGAAGATGAATACACTGTAGTTATAAAGGGATGGACATGGTCAGCAACAATACTCTGCTGCTGTAGTCCATCCGCTTCATAGTTCGACGTGTTGTGCATTCAAAGATGCTTTTCTGCATACCTCGGTTGTAGCGAGGTATGTATATAAATATATATATATATATTTATATATATATATATATATATATATATATATATATATATATATATAT